CTATTGCTATTGGACAGCACTGAACTGGAGGTAAGCAGGAGGGTGGAATATGCTCAGCTAAGGAGTGTGGACTCCTTCCTGAGGACACTGAGCCCCCAGGGTGCAGGGGAGGGACATGATGTGCTTTGCTCAGAAAATCACTCTGGCTAACGAGTGAATGAGGAACCAGAAAAGGAGCAGTCCAGGAGTCAGGAGGCTGTTGCAGCATTGTAGGCAGAATAGAGACATGAGGCCGAATTTGAGGACTTTCAGGAACTAGATCTGACAGTTGGTTGTAGATGAGCTGTGAGGAAGCGAGGAGGAATTTGGGCAGACTTTTGGGTTTCCAGCCTAGACAGGTGAGTGGATCAGGGTGCTAGACTGTATTCAATGAAGGTAGGACTCAACCAGGCATTCAGTAAATATTTGTTGAATGAATGTTTCAAAAAACACGCAGACCAGAATGTGCAGTTCAGGAACTGTGTCATGGGTGGTCTAGAAAGGGAGAGGTCAATGATTAACTGCTACATCAGTGGGAGATAGGAATTGGAGGTCAGGAGGACAAGCCCCCGAAGGGTCGCCTTGTTCACCGGCACAGGTTCCCGTGAACGGCTGGCTGCAAGGGATACTGTTGCTCATCCTCATCAAGATGCATCACAGGTGTTGGGGGTTTGGCTGGCATGAAGACATCTTCTTTGGTTTCCTCAGCCCTCTGGTTAATTTTCATGAGGAGAGGGAGAAGGTGGGGATGATGGGGCTGAAGAAAAAGGAGGATGATTGGTGTAGTGTGAGAGGTGGATGTGGGAATGTGTTTGTAATAAGGGCATACTCTGAAAGCACCTACTTGCTGGTACCGCTACCCATCAGTCACACTCAAATGTAGACAAACATTTATATCCATTTACCTGAAATGTCAATAATATGAAACAGAGCCACTAGGAAATATAAATTTGACTTCATTTCCTTATTTATGCTTGGGAAAAAAAATGTGATTTAGTAAAAACAACAAAAACAATCCTCTGAATAGAGATTAGGAGGTCGGGGGTTCTTTCACTATTGTTGTGAGTGTGGGCAAGTCACAGAATCTTTTCTGCATCTCAGTTTTGTCATCTGCCAAAATAGCAATAATAATACTAGCCTTGTCTGTTTCATAGAATTAACAATATGGAATGAGAAAATGCATGTGAAGGGCTTCAGAAAGTTAGAAGCGCATACTGAGGGTAGACGATGTTGATATGTGCAATGAACAGTGAACCCGTAGAGAAGTATTTTAACTTAAATAAATCTGAATGGAAGAGAAATCATTAGGCATGTGCTTCGTGGGGCAAAAGTCAGTCTCTCCTGCCCTTTTGTGGACAGAACCAGCCATCCCAAAGGGTAGCCTGGCCTTTTGTATTTCTAAGAACTCATTGGGTGAGAGTTGGATGTGATAAATAGTGAGGTGGCTGGGCCAGTGGGGTTTGGTGCTGTAGCCTCCAATATCCCAGAATTGTGAAAGAGGGGATTTGTTCAGAAAATCCACAGTGCCCCCTTCATATTCAGATTGGTTATTTCTGCTTTGGTTCATTCATTTGTATGTTCGTCCATTTGTTCATTCATTCAACAATGTGTATCCAAGCATTCAAACCTCTCCTATCCTTCAAAGATTATCCAAACTTCACCTACTTTCAGAAGGCTTCCGTGTCCATCCCAGCACAGCACCTTAATCTGTGCCTCTCATTTCTTCAGGCACATTCTGCTTTGTCATGTGTTCATGTTATCATTGGTCTCAATTCCTTTCTGTAAGTAGAATCCATGCCTTAAACATCTTTGTATCCCTACAGCACTAGCACAGTGCCTGGTAAACAGCAGATACTCAGAAATTAAGAACTGAATGAGTGAACAAATTGGGCGGATGGATGGGTGGGTGGCCCTGAATCAGGCAGTATTCTCTGTATTTTCTGATCAGGCAGAGATGGGAGTGTAGCAAGTCCAGTTCTACTTCTGGCCATGGAGGTTGGTGAGGTGGGCGAGGCAGTGGAAGGTGAAGACAATTACTGGGGGCAGCCATTGGTGACTCTGCTGCCTGAAGATGGCGCTAGAGGTCACTTGGCGTATCTACTCGTTGAGCTCTCCTTAACCGAGCATCTGCTGTGTACAAGACACTATGCCACAGGTTAGGGGAACAGAGATAACTATATCGTAGTTCAAAAAGACATGAAGTCTAGCTGGGTAGACAACTAATACGTGTGAACAACGATGATTTCTTTAGAAGTTCGGCTGGTGTTACGAGATAGTAAATGCAAAGTGGCAAGCTAGTGGTTCAGAGAGTAAATACTGTGGGCGTAATGATTCTTCATCTCGGGTCTTCTAGGTCTGTCCCCTTCCCCAGCTGGCTGCCCTACAGCTTCCCCAGGACACTAGCAAGCACTTATTCGATTATAGAGCCAGATTTTTGGTATCACAAAATGTGTCCACTGTTGTTATACAGCTTTTGAGGAGAGAGGTATTGTCGAGAGCTGGAGTGAGGGCTGGGGTGGGGGTGAAAGGGGCCATTTGGGAAAGCTTTATGTAAGAATTCACCCTGATTTTTCTGAAAAATTGTTAGGCATAGAGGAATGGAGAAGGCATTTTAGGCAGAGGGCAAAGGCATGAACAAGGGACTAGGAATTGGAATTGGTTAGGTATATGCAGGAGACTGTTCATTCATTCATTCATTCAACCAATGTTTTCTGAACCCTTGCTAAGTGCCAGGCAGTGTTCTCATGCTTTACATACAAGCATGTGTCATGGATGAAATAGTCTGCCTTCAAGATTCTAGTGGGACAGTCAATTTACTTGGGTTTGCCAACATACAAATAACATACAATAGATTGGGGAAAGTGCTATGAAGGAAAAGGAGTCAATAAGAGAGAATTAGCTGGGCACCTTAGCTTCCCAGAGGAAGGTGACATGTAAGTGGAGACCTGAAACGTGGGGAGTGGAGGAAAGAGGGTTCCAAACAGAGGAGGAGGGACCGTGTGCTGAGGGTTTCGAGGTGGGTAAAGAGGATGGTGCATTTGAGAGACTGAAAGACAGCTGTAGCTGGTGTTACTGGACCTCAGTGAGTGGACACATTTGACTGGGAATACTGCATGCAGGCTGAAGCCAGATTGTGGAAGGCCAGGCTGGGGGTGGTGGACATGTTAAAACATTTTCTGAGGCCAGATTATCTCTGGGTGTGTTTCTGTGTTCCCACATGAGGGCTGCCTGGATAGAGAGGGAAGTAGGGAGGAAGGGTGAGGGTCTCTCTGAACATCTTGTGATTCCTGTCCCTATTTGCAGCTGGGCGGTGGGACAGTTGTGGTGGATGAGCAGCAGGATAACAAGAAGCTGAAGGTGGGTGCTGTGTGGAGTCTGCCCAGTGGGGATACTGCAGGGTTTCAGAGGACAACCACAGACCCAGGGCGCTGTGGCCCTGATTCTGGGGATACTGGGCTGGGCTCAGACCTGGGAAGCTCCTGGGAACGCTGCCAGGGTGAGCCAGGGAAGGAGCCAGAGGGACTGTCACCTCCAGGTGGCCTTGGAGGAGGTGCTAGCTTGGGAGCTAAGTCCAGAATGTCACTGCTCACTGCCTGTGTGAGCTTGGTCCTCAGATTCTGCATCAGTAGAATGACTGGGCTAGATGAACTCAAGTCCCATTTTGTAGACCCAACACTCTATGATTGATCTAAAAGCCTAATTACCTGCGGCTTTGGAATGCCCCAGAACTAAGAGAAACATACGAGGGGTGGGGCGGGGGGATCTGAGATTTCTGAAAAACTGTGTCTTAGCTGTCTTTGCCCTGTGGGCATTTGGGAAGAAGTGGGGACCTTAGAGAGAAGATGCCAGGGTCTGCATGAAACCTCCCGCATCCTATGAAAATCTGTAGGCCTGTTGTGAAGTATTGTGTTACCATAGCCACTAGATGGCAGAAGAGTTCAGATCCAGAGGGTTGGTTGGTAGGGAGGGAGGGACCAAGCAAGCAGTTTGTCTGACTTTGGATGTTCCCTTGTTAAGTCAGATGATGTTTCTATGTGTGTCGCTATCGTAATTAAAAAAAAAAAAAATTCAGCTAAGTTTAAAAATCAAATCAGCTTTATTCAACAATTCATGAATTGGCCAGCATCCCATCTAGCAAATAGAAAGGAGTTCCAGGTTGTTTCAGGCAAGGTCACCTTCCTTTGGGGGACAGCAGGGGTCTGTCGAGTAGATTACCTCACTAGTGTGCTAACCAGTTAATTCCAAACTGACTGGTTAAGAGTCTGTTCCCGGGAGGGGCTGAAACTGCAGTTAGGTATTTTATGTTTCGGTTTGGTGATGTGGGCAGAGTACAAGTGACTCCATTTTGGACCTGTTGTCTCTTTTTTAGCACTGTGAATGAATGTGTGTCACATCCGTGTGTCTGCACATACAGATGTGTGTATGTGTGTGCCCGTGAAGGTCTCTTGAGCATGTGGGTAGAAAAGAAAGGGCTGGAATCAGAAGACCTGGGTGCTAGTCTTGACTCCTTCATTTACGACCTTGGATAAGCCACCCAGCCTTGTTGAGTTTTCATTTCTTTTTCTGTAGGTGGGGATCAAAGCCTTGCTTATGTCTGGGGGTGGGGCAGAGATAAAGCACCATGATGCTCTTTGTGGACTGTAAGGGGCTGTGCCCATGCACCGTGGGGCTGTCTGTGAGGTGTATGGGTGAGAGTGTTTCTTTGAGGATGTACTCGCAGGGATGGACAAACCCTCGGTAATGTGGTGTCTTTAATACACGTTGTCTGCTCCCTGTCAAAGAGCTTGGGGAATGACTTGGTATGTAGAATTAGCCAGTCATGGAAGAGTTGAGGGGAGGCTGAGAAAGAAAGCACTGTAACTGTCCTGTTGAGGTGAAGGAAGACGGGGTGCCAGGATAAGGCTCCTGTGCTTCTGGCCTGATCTTTATAGGAGGGAGGAGGGTTAGTGAGGCCCCCGTGCGGCTCCTCCCCCGGCTCGGGCAGAGGCCCACTGAGGCCTGTGCCGCTCTCTCCTGCTTAGCTCGCGTCCATGCTGACCCAAGGGAGCAGCTTGGCCTCTCTGCACAACAGCACCATCCGCAGCACCATCTACCAGCTCATTTTCCGCAGCCTGGACACTCTGGGGGAAGGTAAGCAAGGTCTGCCCAGACCTGCGTGGTCTCCCTGTCCACTCCTTCCCTCCTGCTGCTGAACAAGAACTGGGACTTGCAAAACTGAGAGGCAGCAGGTGGAGTGAGGGTGGGAGTGGGAAGAGAGTTAGCAGAAGAGAGAGGGTGGTAGAGGCAGGCAGTCTGGGAAGACCCACCAGGAGAGGGCCCGGAGGAGCTAAGGTCCTTAGGTATCCACATCCCACTACCTCCCTGTCTCCGTGTCCCTCCTGTAAAATGAAAGGGTTCATCTGCCGTGAGTGAGGCCATGAGTGTCATGTGCCATGCACTGGTCTATGTTGGGGCTGCCCTCCGTGACTTTCCTGCAGAGCCCACCCCCATGCGTCAGCCCCAGTGTCCCACAGAGTCTCCAGCAAGATAGTGTGGCCAGGGCTGCTTCTCGGGGCATCACCTGCGGGGCCCCACAGCTGGAAGCTCTGGATGGTGCCTCCCTTTGCTCTGTATTCAGCTCCAGAGTCCTAGGAAGCCTGCTGACCCCTCCCCAAGCCAGGTATCCCAAAGGACACCCTGGGGGCCACCAGGTGAGGGTCCAAAGTGTAGTGGGAGCTGATGCCCAAGTTGACAAATGATGGAGATAGCTGAGATCCTCACCACCCACTTTACGGAGACCTGCCTTCTGCCCCGCTTCCCCAGAGAGCTACCTCCAACAGGCTTCGCAGGCCCCTAAAGGGCATCCTCAGGTACGCTTCTCTTCTCCTTGGGCACCTCTGTCTCTGGGACACTGCTGCAGAACTGGAGCGCCAGCATGAGGCCCATCAAGGAAAGGTTGGCCTTTGGGCGGAAGCCAGGGAGTTGGAGTGCAGCTGGGCAGGAGGCTGAGGACCGAGCCGAATATGACACCAGAGACTGATCCATGAGCCCCAGGGACAAATTTTAGGGACCTCAGAATTTCTCAGGCCCTGAAGCATCTTCTTCACATATGATACTGGGTTGTTGGTTGTTTAAAACAAGCATATGGTCAAAGACGAGGTGATCAAACCTTCCCTAGAAAATCCTCACGAGGAGCTTCCGCAGACATTGGGAGAGGCCACCCCCCTGTCAGCTCCAGAAAAACAGTACCCCTGGGGTTTCAAGAGTGGAGTCTGCAGCACTGGACAGCCTGTGGGTGATCAGTGCTGGGGGCGTATCTGGCCTGGGCACAGTGAAGGAAGCTGTATCCCTGGGTTAGGCCTGGCCCTCCTCGTGGAATCACTGACTCAGCAAAGTCTTAAAGATAAAGACCTTCTCCTGGGTGGGACTGCAGGGCCCCCTGCCTGGGCCACTTCCATGAGCAGCAGCCATCTGCTGGCTTGTCCTAACAGGATTATGTGATGTCCAGGCCATGTCCAGGCCAGGCTGAGGTCAGAGGAGATTGATACTAAGGAGATGATCTGGCCGCGCTGAGAGTTGAGAGGCCATGTGAGGAAACAAGTGCTGGGGGAGCCAGTGGCAATTATCCCCAGGAAGACAAGCATGCTTGGTACCCTGTGTGGGTGTGCGATGGGTATGGAATGGCCCTCCCAGGGAATGATTGCTTGTGTGCCTGGGATGCAGTCCCGCTCAGAGAAGCTGGCCCTGATCCTGCACCCTGAGATTCCATCCAGGAAGGGCTGGGAGCAGGCAGGGTTGGGATGAAGGCCTTTGTTCCCAACACTTTGCAGATACATGTTTGTGTTTCCGTATGCTCTTTCCAGATGGCTATCCAGATGTTTCCACCCTTTCCAAGCAATGAACTCTCTCCACAGAGCTGATCCATGGTCTGAACTCTTACCCTGGGTAGGGGCTTTACCTCTCCAGAATCCCATGCTTCTTCTGGTGATTTCACTCACACATGTGCGTGTGTATATGAGAGAGACAAAGAAAGAGACAGAGATAGAAACAAACAGAGAGAGGCCCTTCAGCGGACCTGCTTTCCTCGGTGGCATGGGAAATGAGAGGTTAAGGCGTGCGATGAGGAAGGAGAAGGAAAGAGGGGAACTTGGTTTTCTTGCCAGCTCCTCCAGCCAACAGTCAGCAGGTATTCTCAGCACCAGGACTGGAACCAGGGGAGCCCTTCAAAAAGCTATGCGTTGTTCAACAGAAGACTGCAGTGCTTGATCAGTGCCAAGGGGGCACTGGAGCAGTCTGCATGAGGTTAGGCAGTGGAGTGCCCACCACCTGACATCTCAGTTCTGACGGGACCCGCTGAGCGGGCCCACCAGGACACTTCGAGGGACCACACTTGCCAGAGTGATGGCTCTGCAGGATGGAGCCTGTTGCCAGAGGCAGCTGCAGATCAACCAGCCTGATTGTTTAGGAGACAGGTTGAGAGAAGGAAACTCCAGACCTGCTTTTGTGTCCTGCCCATCCTGGACCCAGGCAGAGTTTGATTCCCAAACCTTCACAGTTTGTCTGTATTATGGACTAGGGGATCTTCAGGGTCCCTTCTAACTCAAACCCTCTGGAATGCTGGGCCTCAGCAGTGCAGAGTTGCTTCCTGGGTAGAACAGCTGCTCTCAACTACTATCGTCAACTCATCATTGTCGTCATAGCTAAAACTTATGTAGTATTTTCTAGGTGCCAGGCACTGGCTTAAGCACATACATATATAAATTCATTTATTCCTTCAACAACTCTGTAAGATTTTTTTTTTTTTTTTTTTTTTTGGGCTGCATTGGGTCTTCCTTGCTACGCGTGGGCTTTCTCTAGTTGCGGTGAGCGGGGGCTACTCTTCATTGTGGTGCGCGGGCTTCTCATTGCGGTAGCTTCTCTCGTTGCAGAGCACGGGCTCTAGGGATGTGGGCTTCAGTAGTTGCAGCACACGGGCTCGGTAGTTGTGGCTCACGGGTTCTAGAGCGCAGCCTCAGTGGTTGTGGCACATGGGCTTAGTTACTCCGCGGCATGTGGGATCTTCCCGGACCAGGGCTCGAACCCGTGTCCCCTGCATTGGCAGGCAGATTCTTAACCACTGTGCCACCAGGGAAGTCACTCCGTAAGATTTTGTAGGTGAAGAATCTGAGGTACAGAGGGTCACCCAGCTGGATCCAAAGCTAGCAAGTGGCAGAACTAGGATTCAAACCGAGGCATCTAGCTCCAGAATCCATGCTAACTTAGCAATATTTAATTGCAGCAGTTAAAGTATTTATTTATTTTGTCTCATGGACTCCCACATCAGTGCTCTATCATATTACTGCCTTTTTAGAGAGGGGACACTGAGGCGTAGAGAGGGTACACAGGCTTCCCAAGGTCACCCAGCACTCACAGGGCAGAGCCAGCCTGGAACCCAGAATAGACCCCATGGCTCCACTTTGCTCTTACCCTTACGGACTGCACAGCTGTGAGGAGGACGCTCGTGAGCTCCTGCACTTCAATCTCTGTGCCTCTCAGCTTGAAATTACACATGTACAGCACTTTGCTTGTTGCCTGGAACATAGTCATATTGAAAGAGAGTTGACTTCCCCATTTCTCTTTTCTGGAAATCAGGGCAGCACTATTCTGTGCATGATGCTCTGTGGACTGCCAGCAAGGCACAGAGTGTATACGGGGATCTCGAAGGAGACTCTGCTTGGGCTGCAGGTGTCTGGAGTCCAAAGGAGAGTGGCAGGGAACTTGGTGAGCAGCTATTTCCCCTTTCCCACTGGAGAGGGGAGGCTCATGAACATGGCCACCAGTAGTTCCCCTGGAGCCATAGCAAAGCTTCTAGTAAATTCATAGAAATTAAGCTGCAAAGGACCTTACAGACAATCTCGTCCACAGATGGCAAAAATATCTCCCTGCCATTATTTCTTCATTCCCTGCCCATTGCAGATATCACCGATGAATCATGGTACTCTCCTACCAAGCTTGGACCAGAATTCTCAATTCAGCACTCAAGCAGCCGTCACTTGAGTTCATAAAGGAAATAAATCCTATTTGTTGCCCCCAAATAAAGTAAACCATGTCATTTTATCGGAAGTAGGCCTAGAGAGGGGAAGTGACTAGCCTAAGTGGCCAACCTAAGGTCATAGCCAGTTAGTGACAATGTAGGGAATTTAAGGCAGAAGTTTGGGAATTGGGCACCATGAACAAGCCTAGGAGGACCAGAGTCCAGATGTTGGAACTTCCAGGCCAGCCTCTTTCCACCTACTTCAGCTGCTCTGTCAGCTGACCAACCTAACTGAATGGTGTAGCAGGGATACTGTGGTCTTGGATAAGATGTGTTTCCTTTCTCATTCACAGCCCGGCCCTCCAAGGACAAGGAGGAGGAGAGCTTGAATCAGGAGGCCAAAGCCAAGCCTCAGGCCAAAGCAGAGAGCAAACCAGAAGGTGAGAGGATGGTGAGACCAGTGGGTTTTCTCCTGCCACCTTCCTCCCTCCTGTCAGCCAGGGACTGGGCGGCCTCCTGGTCTCTCTGAGCCAGTCAGCTGGAGTGATGAGCTGGTGCTCCCCTCCTCCCTGCTGCACTCCGGCCTCCTCCTTCCAGGGTGCTCCCCTTCTGGCGTGGCTGCAGGCCCGGGGGTGGCCCTGTACAGCTCCCTCCGCACTCTCCTCACATGGGGTAGGCAAGGCCTGGCAGGGGTTATTGAACTTCTATTTCTTTTTTGCTAAATCTTGTCCCAAATGAGATTCTATTGGACTCTATTTCTTCTTCCTGTCACTTCTACACAGTGCTGCTAGGGAATTGGTCTGAGACCAGTAACCCCAGTGAGGGAGGGCCATCGGGGGTCTGGTGATGAAAACATCCAGCATCCGTGTGGCAGCTGGGACACGGTAGTGAGACAGCTACTGCCCAGTGGGCTCTGCACAGCACACCAGGCCTGCCTGATCCACCCAGCAGCTTCGGAGGGAGGGAGGTAGAGCAGCAGTCATTGTTCCCATTCTATAGACAAGGAAACTGAGGCTCAGAGAGGTCAAGTGACTTGCCCAAAGATATATAGCCAAGAAGTGAGAAAGCCTGTACCTAAACCTAGACCTCCAGACTTTCCAGTTCTCCCTCTCCTGCAGTCCTATTCCAAGACTCCCTAGCTGCTGCCTTTGAAATCATCAGGCTCCTCTCATGCAGGGGGAAGGGTCAGGCGCTGAGAGCTGGGGCTTTGCCCTCTCTTTTAAGCTGTTCACAGTATCCTTGGCTACATTGCCAGGATGGAAATGTCTGAATACAGGGAGAGCAAGGAGAGCCACTTCCCAGCTGTCCTGTCATCTGCAGACATCTCTGTGGACAGGACAGTAACAATTCACATCACATCATTTTCCTTTTCCTGTTAACAAGAAATTCCCCAAACCTTCTGTGACCCTGAAGTGGACAAGTCCAGTAGCCCTGTAACCACTCACACCAGTCTCTGCCAGCTGCCCTCAGAACCTGGCACACTCTTCTGACCTATCCCATGTTTATCCTTTAAAGAGGAGGAGCCAGCCAAGCTCCCTGAGGTCACGGTCACACCAGCCCCTGCTCCAGACGTCAAGGGAGATCAGGAGGAAGATCCTGGCAGTCAGGTAGGCACAAGCCTCTTCCCAGGTGGTGGAATTTGAGAGGCCCAGGGAAGGATTTGCCAATCAAAAATCAGTCCTTCCTGAAGATTGGAAATGCTATTTGAGGTTCATTCCTCTGGTGTAAGCATTGCCCTTTCTTTGAAGATCAAATACCTCATGGGGCCAGTTAATTCACTAATACCTTAGTATGAGTAAGATAATATGTATGAGAATGTGTTGCCAACCTATGTCCAATCAGCTGTGGCAGGGAGAGGTGGCGTGCTTTGACTCCAGTGTGGGAGAAGGGAGCTACCCGTCAGGGGCTATTAGCAGTGACAGTTTTCAGAGAAGAGGGTGCAGGCTGGGCAGACACTCCTGTACCTATCAATTTAAATGACTTGTTGTTTCCTCCAAGAAGCCTTCTCTCCTGATGAGGGTGGGGAAGGGAGGGCAGAAATTATTTCAGACTCAAGTCTTCTCACTCTTCATTTCCAACTGAAAGCACAGGCCTCATGGATATTAATATTTGACTTCTTCATTGGGTGCTCTGAACCCTGGTTGCATATTAGAATAATTTGGGGAAGCTTTAAAAACTGCCCAGGGCCCACTTTCAACCAGTTAAGTCAGGATATCTGGGTTGGGTCCTTGGGCATGAATGTTTTAAAATCCTCTAGGTGATTTTAATGTGCAGCAGAGTTGAGAATCATTGGGCAGTGTTGGGGGTTGGCAGTGTCATGAAATTTGTTATGGATGACGTACTCTATGAGCACACAGCCCAGGTCATTTGCTCAAGGGATTGGACCAGCACATTGTTATAGGTCATTTAGGAGCCTAATCTGAGGACCCTCAGAATCAATGGCTTTCAGAGTGAGTGGAGTCAGTCCATGGTTCCCACACACCGGTCTATAGATGAATTTATTAGAAGCACTTGTGAGCATATTAAAAGAGATTCCTGGCTTCCGGTCCTAGAGATTATACTTCAGTTGGTTCGGGGGGGCAAAGAAATCTGTATTTCTAATAAGCTCTCAGGCTACCAGGTTTGGGAACCAAAGATCTCATTCGGCCCTGGCATTTGCAGAGCAGGGTAGCTTGGTGGTTAAGAGGCCAAGAGTTGGACTGTCCATATTCCAATCCCAGCTTCATCACTTACAAACTGTGTGGACCATAAGCAAGTTATTTAACTACTCTGTACCTTAGTTTCTTCATCTGTCAGATGGATTTAGTTCTGCCTATATCATAAATTAATTGATTCATGAAACATACTAAGTGCTAGTTGTTATGATTATTATTATACCACTTAGCATGATGCCTGGCACATAAATACCCTCAGAAAATAGGTATCCTCCTCGTCATCATCATTTTACACATATAAGGTAATAGAGCAGTTGAGGAGTTTTAATGGACTCAGCAATGTGATGTAACCACCAAAAGATACCATGTCATTTTAGGCAACATTAATGGAAGCACAGTATCTAAAATAAGGGGGGTGATAACCCTGTTTGACTCTGTGAAGTGTTCTGTGTTGTTTTAGAAGCCTCCTCGTGGGATATAAGCTAACTAGAATGAGTTCACCAAGAAGGAGAGGAGGCTTTAGGCCATAGTATGGGGGAACCATAGAAGGATCTGGGAATCTTTAACCCAGGGAAGAGAGCTGTCTCATGGAAGAGTGTTATGTATGGCTCCCAAGAGTAAACCTATACACAGGAGGTAGAACTTTGGTATAAATATGACTTCAAACCAATCAGAGTTGTCAAGATGACAGAAGCTGCTTTAGGTGGTGAGTTCTCCATCCCTAGAAATGATCAAATAAAGACCAGACCACCACTGGGTAGGAGTGTTGTGAAGGGAATTTTGCTGAATGATTGCACTAGTTTCTTCCTCATACTCAAGCTCTTAGATACATTCTGAGAACAACAAAAAATGTGGGGAAAAACTGTGGGGAGAAACAAGCAGGGCAGTTATTTCCCATTAATCTGTTGGCTTTGGATTGCAGGGAGATGTGGCTGAAGCTGAGAGCACAGGTGAAAGGACAGATAATGAGGTTAAAACTCCTGGTGAAGGTGAAAATGGAGAGCAAAGTGGAGGTGAAGCTCAACCAGAAGGTGAAGGTGAAGAAAAAGGAGAGAATGAAAGTGAAGGTGACATCCAGGCAGAAAGGAAAGGAGAGAATGAAAGTGAAGGTGACATCCAGGCAGAAAGGAAAGGAGATGATGAAGGTGAAGGTGAAATCCAAGCAGGAGAAGATGGTGAAATGAAAGGTGATGAAGGTGACCTCCAGGCAGAAAGGAAAGGAGATGATGAAGGTGAAATCCAAGCAGGAGAAGATAGTGAAATGAAAGGTGATGAAGGTGACCTCCAGGCAGAAAGGAAAGGAGATGATGAAGGTGAAGGTGAAATCCAAGCAGGAGAAGATGGTGAAATGAAAGGTGATGAAGGTGAAACTGGAGAGCAGGAATTGAACGCTGAAAATCAAGATGAAGCCAAAGAAGATGAGAAAGGTATAGATGGTGAAGAGGAAGGTGATGGAGGTGAGAGTGAAGACGAAGAGGAGGAGGAGGAGGAGGGAGAGGAGGAGGAGGAGCAGGAGGAGCAGGAGGAGCAGGAGGAGGAGCCTTTGTCCCTGGAATGGCCTGAGACCAGGCAGAAGCAAGCCATTTACCTCTTTCTTCTGCCCATTGTGTTCCCACTGTGGCTGACGGTGCCCGACGTCCGGAGACTGGTGAGTTTGCCCAGCTGTCCCCAAGCTATCTGTCCCCAGGGAGGCTGTGGGGTCTCTCAGCACTCCCCCTCAAGAGGACGGAAGGGACAGGACAAACCAGCTTGACAGGGCTCAACTACAGAGAGGATCTGGGATGGAATCTGCAGCTCTAGTGGGGACCATGCACCTAAGGGGACACACTGATGGGCTTGGGAGGCCTCAGAATGTGCTTGTTTCCATCGCTATAAGCAACGTGAACTAACCCCTCCTCGAATTCTCAGTTTCTTGATTTTAATATGGGAATGATGCCACTGCACACCCTCCACATTGCACAGGGATATTGTGAAACCCCAGGGTGATAAGTGCTGTTTCTACCCAGTATTCCTGTTTATAAGGAAAGGTCTGACTAACATACTCCACCCAAAGGGGAACCATATTCTGTCTCTGGGTCCAGAGAGGGGTGGGGTGGGGAGAGGTTGCTGAAGCCAAACCAGGTACCTAGATTGATCTGGTTCCAGGGCAAGCAGGTAGCTCTCTTCAGTTTGGCAACTGCTGAACCCCCTCCTGTGTGGACTCCCCTGTGGGCCACCAACCCCATCCTTCTCAAGGTCCTCACTGGAGACAGAGATGGAAGCTCAAACTTCTCCACATCCTCTCCATGACTCCTCCAGCAGATCTCTTCACTGATACTGGGGCTCCCTCAGAAGGGCCAGAGACCTTTAGCCTCTGCAACTTATTTCTCTTCCTTTTCAAACAGGAGGCTAGGAAATTTTTTGTTATCACCTTCCTGGGATCCATCATGTGGATAGCCATGTTCTCATACCTCATGGTGTGGTGGGCTCACCAGGTGAGTGTGCGGCAGGAACTAAATCCCGCATTAGCAGGTCAAAAGGACTTTTTCCCTTCAGGGTGAATTTCTGGTACCCAGGGAATAGCGAGGACCAAGTGAATTTGTAGTTTATACATTGTAAAGGCTAAAAAGTAGACTTTATATTCCAGGGAATGTAGTGCTTTTCAGGTGTGGCTCTTCTGTCTTGTAGTGTGACAGAAGGCCCTTCACAACCTGATCTAGTTGACCATTCCTTCTTAGCATTATCCCCTGCTTCCTCTGTTCTGTATCCCACACTTCTCTCCACCTGGTGACATCATACACACTCGTGAGAGCAAGCTCAGTGTTGCCTCCTTTCTGGCGTTTAATCAGTCTTCTGAGTGCTTAATGGCTTTGCTGTTCTACCTAGAATATTGCACTTAAGCACAGAGCTGTATTATTATTATTATTTTAAATATTTATTTATTTGGCTGCATGGGTCTTAGTTGCAGCACACGGGATCTTTTGTTGAGGCACACAGGCTCTCTAGTTGTGGCGCAGGGGCTTAGTTGCCCCGTGGCAAGTGGGATCTTAGGTCCCCGACCAGGGATTGAACCCACATCCCCTGCATTGGAAGGCGGATCCTTAACCACTGGACCAGCAGGGAAGTCCCTGTATTATTATTTACATGCTTCTCTCTTTCAAGCTGAGAGTAGGGTCAGTGTTGTACTGCTCATACTTCTACCTCCAGCCTCTAAAAAGTTCCTGGCACATAGCAGGTGTCCGTGGTTCTGGAAATGGAAACTTGACACCAAGAGGCCTTTGGAGGAGCAGTTCTTTTGGGAAGGTAGAGGTGTTGTAGTTGGAATGACAGTAAGTGGTATCATAGGTGGACTTTTACTCCAGTTTAGAAAAGAGCAGCATCATTCCCTGAAGCCTTGAGCAGGGGTCCTGTTCTTTCTCTCCATGGCCCATCTCCCCAGCTGTTAGTTCTGCTGTGACCCTACCTCACTCAGGCCAAGGGAACGTGAACTCTGTGGAAGGTGTTGGTTTTGCACAAAGTAGTATGTGGTTGGTGCTTTGAAGAGCCTCAGATTTTTCACTTGGTTTCTCATTACTGTTACTATTTACCAGGTTGGTGAAACAATAGGGATTTCTGAAGAGATTATGGGCTTGACAATCCTAGCAGCAGGCACATCAATTCCTGACCTCATCACCAGTGTGATTGTCGCTCGGAAAGGCCTGGGAGACATGGCCGTGTCAAGCTCTGTGGGCAGTAACATATTTGATATCACCGTGGGGTGAGTGGCAAAGTTGCTTTCTAGGGCATGATATGTATGACTGGCAAACACTGTGTTGGCTCTGTCTGCTGGTTTTTTGCTCCATACATGGAATAAAAGGGCATTTATGTTATTAGCTTCTGCCAGGCAACAAAGTATCCTCCCTTCATTCATCACAGCCAGATAGGATAACAGAACTAAAATGCTGCCTGAAATGTAACTGACTAGAATTTATAGATGAATTGAAAAATGAAGTCCATTAAATTCCATTACCAAATACAAACGCTCTGCTCACTGACCCCCAAGGTGGAGGAGGTGGGGTTGGAAGAAGCAGTGACTCAGTCTTACTTCCTGACATTCTTGCTTCTTTGCATTTGGACCCCTGCTGGCTCAGAGGTTCTAAAAGCATTTTGTATAAACAAACAAATGCTGCTTACTCCTGTATGGGTTTGCTTACCCCGCTCCTCCCAACCTTGTCAGAGCAGAGTGTCCGCGGTATTTTCATTTCCCCAATCATGTTCTGGATGTGGGTGGTGGCTTTGGTTTCCTTAATTTGTATATGTGTGTGCTTGCAGGGTGGGGCAGGTAAGAAGGCATAGGAGAGCCCTGATCACTAACGAATGTAAGGGAATGTTATCCTGAGCTAGGCCTTATTCTGATTTAGAGAGTCACACATCTACCAATTTAGGTTAGTCATACAGAAGTCATGAAGTATGACGAAAACAAACTCAGAACCAGAAAGCCTGTTTTAATCTTAGCCTCTCCCAGTTATCAGCTGTGAGTACTTGGGCACATAATTCCCTGAACCTTAGTTTTCTCACCTGTGAAATGAATGTTTTCTGCTCTGTTTCACAGGTTTGTGTAAAAATGAGTGCTTTGTAAATTGTAAAATACTGTTAAGTATATGGCATGATTATAAACATTAAGAATATTCACACTGTTTCTTCCATCTTGCAGCCTGCCCCTTCCTTGGATGCTTTTCTCTTTTATCAATGGATTACAGCCTGTTCCTGTCAGTAGCAATGGCTTGTTTTGTGCCATTGTTTTGCTTTTTCTCATGCTCCTGTTTGTGATCTCTTCAATTGCATTATGCAAATGGAGAATGAACAAGATCCTGGGCTTTACCATGTTCCTCCTGTACTTTGTATTCCTGATAATCAGTGTGATGTTAGAAGATCGAATCATATCCTGTCCTGTGTCTGTCTAAGTCAGTCACTGTTGCTCAAAATGGACACGGATCAGAAAACCATGCCAGAAGTTACTGTACCACTTGTTACATTAAAGAATGAACAAGATCCAGGAGAGTGAACTGAGTGGGCAGGAGCCTCTGATGTGGATGTGATCGGGACTGAAGTTTATCCTTGGAAAACACCTGCAGCTCATTGTGGATTAGGACTCTTTGGAGGGGTGGAGCTCCTACCACCCCTGATGCAGACAGCTAACACATGGAGGCCAGCAGAAGGACCCAAGTCAGAGGATTTTCTAAAATGAGATATTTGGGAGTGAGGGTTGGGACAGGTACCTTAGCAATCAGATAAGCTCCCATGTTCACAGTTCCCTGATTATTCCTGAAGGGCTGCTGATGCAAAAGATGCAGGTGTGGTCTCCATCTCACCCTCCTGGCCCCTGCCCCCAGCACATGCTGCAGTTTACTGTCTCCTCTTTTTCTGTTCAAAACATGTGGTTCTATCAGATTTGTATTCATTACAGGTTCAGTTACTGGTGAGTTTAAAGGAGCAAAGTCTATAGGAAAAAAAGTATAACAAGAATCAATTATCATTACACACTGTAGTCCAGTAAAATGTGTACCAATATTTTATAGCTTAAAAAGGAGGACTACATATGCTCTCGTTGTATTTCTGAAAAGTCAAATTAAAATAAGCAGCTCAAGAAATTATAATTTGCCCTTCAATTGGAAGATGTGGGTATTAGGGAAGGAGAACTACTCTGAGGGCTATTTAAAAACATGTATTTATTAGGAAATCCAAGTTAGTGTTGTCTCCATCAGGTGGGTCACCTTGAGGGATTAGACATTCTAACAAAGCTGTCCTGGCTCTGTGCCCCTCCCCTCTCATATTCTCACCCAACAGTGACAGCTGCACTAGTGAGTGAGAAACAAAGTAATTTTTAAAAAGAGTCTAAAGTCAGGAGAGCCAAATCTGGTTTACAAAGTAAAAGATCCAGTGGGGCAATGCTATTTTTGTATGTCATCCTCGATAGGATTATAAAACAAGAAGATTGATTTCTTGTGTAGCTTACAAGTGGATATTAAGGCGATTACAAAGGAGAAATTCCAAAAATGCTCAAACAATGACAAGATGGTAAGGAAAAGAGTATTACTACTTCCACGGTAGCTGATGTAAAGGACACCTGTGTGTTTTTAAAAAAATTATTTAATTAATTTAATTTTGGCTGCGTTAGGTCTTCGTTGCTGCATGCGGGCTTGCTCTAGTTGTGGTGAGTGGGAGCTACTCTTTGTTGCGGTGTGCGGGCGTCTCATTGCGGTGGCTTCTCTTGTTGAGGAGCACGGGCTCTAGGCGCGTGGGCTTCAGTAGTTGTGGAATGTGGGCTCTAGAGTGCAGGCTCAGTAGTTGTGGCCCACAGGCTTAGTTGCTCCGCGGCATGTTGGATCTTCCCAGACCAGGGCTCGAACCCATGTGCCCTGTATTGGCAGGTGGATTCTTAACCACTGCGCCACTAGGGAAACCCGACACCTGTGTTTTTAAAAATTGTGTGGTTAAACATTTCAGGTGGAAGTTGAAGTGCTTGTATATTAAATACCACTGCTTGCTGCTTTTACTGGCATCAGGTTAAGGGGCACATTAAAAATGAAACAGTGTGGTGGTTACAAAGCAAAAGGAGCTGAGGTGAATGTAGTTTAGGATGGTAAATATCGCTTTAATTAGAAACATGAGAGAGGATTCACTGAAGACTGGAAGATAGCAGGACAAGTGTGATGTGGGAAAAAAACCAAACATTTTGGTTTTGAAAGGCTGTGTTCAAAGTACTTCAGTCCATAATCCATCTTTTAAGACGGGCTGGTTAATTTAATTCATGGCCTCACTCCAGGACTCACATTCTTTGGAAATGACTTTCACTAAATTTCAATAAATTGTGAGTCCCAATGATATTTTACAAAAATGGACGTGTTCGTCCATATCTTTCGGTTATTTAGTCAGAATGCTCGAGAGAAGACTGATGAAGAATATGGGATCATGTTCACATTCCATATTCTTACATTAGTTATCCTCATTCCTGATGCTGCCGCACTGCCTGGTCTCCATATGCCATGGCCTAAGAACAGGAGGAGAGAGCAGTGCCTATGGAAGGGAGATCCCAATACCAACACTCTGGGCACCAATCTGGTATCTGCCACCAACCTCAGCTGGTCTCGAGGATGTCACCTCCTCACTGACAGCCTGGGAGCTGGTGCTCTTCCCCAGAACGACTTATGAGGAGTGATGGACGGTGAAACATCCTGTAAAGGTAAAGTGCTAGGCTGCCATTTGATGATTAAAATCGACTCTAATGGTTGAATATCATTTTTCTGATCCGTTTGCTAAATTTCTGGCATTCCTCTTTGCCTAGAAAGGAAGTTCTGACTTCACACTATGTAGAAAAGAGTCAAAAACAAAAATGAAGGCTGGGTCTTGATGGATGAGCAGCTGGTGGGGAGAAAGGAGATTTCAGGGAGATGGAAAACTTACGTAACTTCTAAAAGATCAATTTGTTATGCATGAAATAAAAAATTTTGCAATCCATTATAAATCTACAATTTATTAAAATTGTGCTTTTTTTTTTTCTTGCGGTACGCGGGCCTCTCACTGTTGTGGCCTCTCCCGTTGCGGAGCACAGGCTCCGGACGCGCAGGCTCCCCGGCCATGGCTCACGGGCCCAGCCGTTCCGTGGCATGTGGGATCTTCCCGGACCGGGGTACGAACCCATGTCCCCTGCATCGGCAGACTCTCAACCACTGCACCACCAGGGAAGCCCAAAATTGTGCTGTTTTAGAGGTAAAGTACCATCTTAAAATGTCAAGATAATGGTTAGCTGGTCCTCTCATTTGATGAGCAAGATGTTCTGTGTAGCTAGTTACATGGGACAAATTCTAGGTCTTTCATTCAGCAAGAAAGTTAGAACTGTCCTACGTGAGTGTCTAAATTGGAAGGAAGTGGCTGCACAGATGATTTCTCCTTCATTCCCCTTGAGGCTGCATTTCCTTGAAGGCCCTGGTGATAGGTTTGGGCCAAATTTATAAAAATGTAAAACTCTTCCTAATTTAATGGGTTAAGATTCTGTGTAGTACCAGAAAAAAAAAGGATGTATTCCAAATTTTAAAAAATTAGTATATGTTTAAATGGTTGCTGTACATTATGAACATTATATTGTACTCATCAACAGATCTGAAAATGCTTCTATCAAATTATAGGCTTGGCCTTTTGTGATACTCTGAAAGTATCATAAAAATTCTATATCCTAATAATCATTTAAAGATAAGTACCAAAAGGGGCAAGAATTGGAATTTAATATTTAAGACACAGCCTGGTAGATACATTTGAAGAACTGGTTGGCCTAATGGGCCACAGAATATCCTTGGTTCTGGCCCCCCTCTTTGTGGGAAGGTCCCCCTGCGGGTGCAGCTTGCAGTGTATTTTGGGCCTGGTTCCTATGAAAGGTACAAAGAGAGGGCCAATGATCAGGGTTGTCCATCCCTGTTGGGTCACTAGAACCAGGCAGGATACCCTGGTCTAAGGCTGCCCGTACAACCAAAGCATACTTCTGGCCCTCAGGCCCTTAACTGTGATGAGCCGGCCAATCTGGAGAATTTCATTTACAGAAAATTCCATCAGTTGCTCCAATGGTTTTATCACAGTACTGTGTTTGAAAAGAAAATCTTTAAATACAAAAGGAAGGAGCCATCCAAATGAACAGCAACTGTGGAAAGGCTGCAGTAACTTTATCAGAAGAGTCTGTTATCTTACACAGACTTTTTGAATCAGAGACAAATTCCTATATTAATTTGTCCAATACTAATTTTGTAAACAAAAATAATTAAGCCAGCAAATGTACTTACTTTGGGGTCAGAGAAAGAGGGCAGTATGAAGGGATAATAAGAAGATACCAAGTACTGAGAGTATTGAGGTAAACTGGTATGCAGCTACCAGAGAATTCAATTCTGAAATAAAACTTTGTCTTGTATCCAAACAGGAAGGGCAGAGCATGCTAAGACTAGCACAAAGGCAGACCAAGGACCCTCTCAAAGAGGCAGCATACTCTTTTCCTTCCTGCTCTGAGATAAAGTGCCTAATAGCAGCTTTCAAGTTCTAGTGGGAGAAACAAAAATAAAGCTGGGCAATCGCACATTACCATACAAATGGTTATTTTCTTACCATATACTTACAAAATATGTAGAAGTAAACATAACTTTTATATGCAGCAGGTTGACACTTGCTAGCTGCACTAAAGTATCATAGTAATTACCAGCATGAAATAAAATAAAATAAGCATATCACCTAAAATGTTGAACCAACATTTTCAGGGGCTATTTCTCTACAAAGAAAAATGGAAAGCCATTTTAAGAAAACGTTAAAATAAAATAAGCTAATGGCTTTAGGGTTTTAAAGGAAAAATCCTCCCCACAAAATAAGAAAAAAAAAAAAAAAGACAAAAATCAGAATATGACCAGACTGCATAACTCCCTAACAGGAGGAAAAAACTGAATACTGAAATATGATATAAAATACAAATGTATGACATTCAAAACACAATGGGAGGAAGTAGTAAACAAGTTGTACCAGGACATGGCATGATTTATTTTCAACTAGTAAACAGATAAACAAAACTAAGAGTAAGAAAATAAAAGACAGATAATGTAGCAAAAGGGTATTTCTCTCTAACATGATTGGCCATGATTCTCTAAAATGTATGGTCAACAGAGATAAAATTGAAGAAAAGTTTGTATGGAGTTATTTCAAAGGATGATCTACATTTTAATTTTCTTTTGATCAAGGTTTACCACTCTCTATTCATGTTTTAGGTTTTATTTTTAAAGAGTAAATTTGTGCAAATAATATTCCCTGGGGATTGAAAATAGGGGAAATAAAACCCAGTCAAAAGTAGAAACAAAACTTGGTGTCAGGGGAAGGAGATAAAAATTACATTCACTTTTCCAAATGAGTCTGAACCATAAAGAATGGGCTTTACCTTACTTTTTTTGGTCAGATATTTGAAATCAATAAACTGTTATTCATATATATTGCTTGTGTTAAAGAAAAGATAATCAATAGTGAAAGATGTTCTTATACAAACAATAACAAAAAACCAGAATAGAACCCCAGAATTCTGTTTGGAGGGATGTTTGTCACTAATGCCAAAAGCCTGATCTATCAAATGTTTCTCTCCTTTGACAACTTTGAAATGACTGTGACTTAGAGAACGTAAGACTGAATTAGACTGTGAAGCGTGGACCTGAATAGGAAGGAAGGATAAGACAAGAGTGGTATTTACAAAAGAGAGGCAGATACATGTGCACAGCACCAGACTTTTCAAGTAAGCAAGTTCAGCGCCAAACTAACTGAACTAAAATTTTACATTTTTAAACTTTCCCCATTATTTCCCAGAGTAGAAAGCTGTGAAATGTTTTAGCTTGGTGCTATTCACTAGTGGGATGAACTCAAAAGTGTTTTTTCTACAGCTGAACTGGTTCTTAGTCTCAGGACTTTAAGGTATCTCCAGTCCAAAGTGTCCTGAACTCTGCCGGCTTCTACACATCTAATTTAGGACCTTTCATTTTTTCCTTCTTTGAAACTGGCTAGAGAATTCCTTCATTATGACAGTGTGTTCAAACACACACCACATGAACACACTGAAAATCTATAAATAATTCTAACAGCCAAAGGATACTTTTTTATCAGAATTACCCAAAGAAAGTGATATTAGAAATAATGCGACTACAAATATTTTTTAAGATTCTATTTAATACCCATGGTACTTAAACATTCAATTTACTGTCTATTTCTGGATATTGCTGGATTTTAGATTCCATAAACCAGATTCTGAAGGCTTATTGAAAAAGCCAGGTTCCTCAATATGGGAAATTCTATCTGGCTGTACTTTTAGAGAGTTATTATTTTTCTACTTTTGAAAAAATATTTTGAATATTTATATATAATATATATATATATAGATATATATATAATATTAACAGAATACTCCAATAGGTCATATTCCAGATAAACATACTACAATTTGCATCATACCCAATATTTTAGATATTAAAATAAAGGTAGAATTTGGGATAAACTGTCTGACATATTTCCTAACATAAGTGTTCATGTAGAATATTAGAATTTAAATTGATATTTGGCTCTATAAGCTATTTTCCCTGTGTATTGTATGTATCTATTAGCAATAGAGAAAATTTTGGAATCATGGTATATTGAACCTGATTTTACAGAAGCAGA